CTCTATGGACTAATCACTAATGTATCTATAAAGGATATACAGGTAAGTCCTGAATACAGAAGACAACTGACCCCCTTATATCAGGATCCTCATTGTTCTAATCTGCAGCTCCAGACTGGGTTATCCCCTTGACTACTCATTATATACTTCCCAGGGATTGTTTGATTGATATAAATGAGGTCCTCAGTGACCTTTATTTATCTGCATTTTGTAGTTTTCAAATCCACAATCCTTTTAGTAGATGTAAATCCTAGCTGAATGCCATTTAGTATAATAAAATATTGTGTATCATAAACAACTGTCATCTTTTTTTCTCCATAATATGTTGTTTTTACTTTTAAAGAGAATGTATATCCAACATTTCATATTCCTGATATGTGCCTGCTGTACCATGTACTTGTATGCAAAAGTATCCTCTTCTGTTTGTGTTGCTTCCTTTGTGTGAAATCCCTGGTGCTCCTGCCAGTCCCTTTGTTTGTTTGTTTTGTGTGACCACACTAGGCATGAGAGCACAGCGTGGTTAGTTCTCCTCCAATGGTCTGACTTGTAATGACACTCCCATTCACCCCCATGCAGAGCCATTCACTAGGAAGATCATGGTCCTGCTGTTTCTCCTCCCCCAGCTCTCTGAGCTCCTTATGCAGCTGATAATGTAATCACTTATATAGCACTACCCCATTAGGAGTCGCTATAGATTTGGGTTTCCCCATAGTTCTGCACAGCCAGGCAACATGCATTTCCTTCCAGCCCTGCACTCCAGAAACAGTAAACAGTCCTTGAGTTGTTTTTTTTATGTTTTATTAGGGAATTGATAACTTGGATGGGGATGAGGGATACATGGGATGCACAAGGTATTGTTAACCTCCCTAACGGTATTCCCGAGTGTAGCTCGTTGTAAAATGTCAGTGCCAAAAGCGCTAACCCCAAGCTACACTCGGGCCTACCATGCGGCGCTGCATAAGGAGTCCCTGCAGCACTTACCTTGTCCTTCGCTCCCGCGATGTGTCCCCTGCAGCGTCCCTGGCCATCTCCTCCGGCCGATGCCGGCATCTGGCTTCTATGTTCCGGTCCCTGTGATGTCGGGACGTACGGGCGCCGGCGGCGGCGGGAAATTTGAAAATTTAAAAAAATGTCATTTTTTTCAAAACACATTTTTCATAGTAAAACATTCCTGTATCAAACCATTTCACATACATTTTGTCCCGAGTGCTTTGTCCGGCGCCCTGCCTGCATTTTTACTGTTCTTTCTGCCTGGAAACTGAGAAACGTCCATGGCGTCCAAAAAGCGTCCCTTTAGGTCAAAAGCGGTTTTAGACCGGCTAGAGAACAGTGATAGTAAATCAGAACCACTTGCAGAATTGAGTGATAATGATTCGTGGGGAAATTCGTCATCAGACACTGAAAACGATTCTGCGACTTTGCTCAGCAATGTGCGAACTTGGCGCTATATTTCAAATTTCAGTGTTTTCGGTTTGATTATATTATTGAATTAAATGTATTATTATTATATTATTATTTTTTATGATTATTTATTAAATTATAATTTATGACTTCGTTTTTCAAATTTTATCATACCCGGGATGTTTACTAGACTCTTGTTCGGACAGATTTCATTGAGTTATTCTTAAAAATTACAGATGTCCATGCAAAAAAATGTACTGCTTTCAGCACCAAAAATCTGAAATAATCATACCGCCAGGGAGGTTAAACTGAGGACAACTTTCTGGAACAAACAAATGCTTAGAAGGGTTTCTCTTCTTTGGAGAGCTATCCAGCCTGTGATGACATACTGTCTCAACCCAAGATGAAATCTCTTCACCCCGCTGCCTGAGGGAATCCCTGGGCAAGGGGATCCAGAATCTGCCACTTCAATATCAGCAGTCCCAAATGGGGGCTAGTCAGGTTTCCCACCAGAATGCCCTCTCCCCTAATCTGGCCCAGGGGGATTAATCATTTAGTCCTCTCCTGCAAGCTTCTGGGTTGGAGGCTGCCTTCAGACCTTATGCTGGGCTGGCTACTTCCCTGCTTCCCAGGTTGTCCTCTCTCAGGGAATGATTGAGAATGAGAGATCCTCCCTTCTTGTTCCTCTGCCTGTAGGTAGGCCCCAAGGGTTAGCTTGCGATGGTGCACTTCATTCCCCAGTTCGCCAATACACTGTGTGTACAAACTCTTCCCAAGTAACTTAGACCAGACAAGTCCACTTAATCAGAACTTCTTTACAAAATGAAATAGTAATTTTTACAGGCTCCAGAAGTACAATGGTTGAAACATACAGAATTAACAGTACATCCCCATTCTCTCTTCCTAGTATTGCTAATCGATTTTGACTGTGCTGTGGTGTCATACCTTCTTCTGTAGTTAATCACAGCCCCTCAAAGTAACTCAGAAAGTTCAGCTCCTGGAATCCATTCCAATGTCTCGGTAAATTGGAACTCCGCCGTACAATCCAGATTTCTAAAAACAGTGGACTGTACCTGCACAATGTGTGTTAGAGAAGGGCATGTGACATAGTGACAATGCAGAGACAGTTGACACCCCATAAAAGGTACTTCCTGGACAAAGACCTTCATGACAGGATCTTTGGGCATGGCTGAGACAAGTCGGGCACAGGCTCTATATGTTGGGGGTGCTGAGAGCTCCAGCAGCTACTTTCTCCCTGCATCTCACTGACAGGAGTGACTGCAGTGTCACTCCTGTCAGCAGAGTTTTTTTCCATCTGGAACATGGCAGTACTATGTACCAACGACTTTGGCACTAGCCCAGTACTCCCTACTGGCACTTGTGTAAACACATAGGTGGCTTCCAGTGCCAATTTTGTGTTTACAAAATGACAGCATCCCTCAAGTGACAGTGCCTCCTCAGTTCAGGTCTGGGCATTGAGCGCTCTGCAGGACTGGGCAAATAGCTGAGGATGGGTGGTAGAGGGCTGCACTGAGATGGGAAGAGGGCTTGGGCAGGAGGAGGGGGGCTCTGTGTGGATGGGAGGAGGAAGGGGGAGCTGTGTGCACTGGTGAAGAGTGAGAGGAAGGAGAAGCTTTATACTGCAGGGGCTGGGAGGAGGAGGAGCTCTATGCTGGGGGGCTAGTGGGTGGGAAAGTTCTGTACTGTAGGAGGATTGGTGTACGTTTTGTAGGAAGGAAGGGGGGGGGGCAGATTTGAGGGAAGAGCTCTATACTGGAGGTGGAGGAGGGGGGTTTTTTACTGGTGTTTCCTCCAGTGATACCACTGTCTTTCAGTGATACCATGGACTGACAAATTCTATGGCTATTAACCAATTTTCTGAAGATTTTTACTGCTGTCTCTGGTCAGGCTCTACATACACTTTAAATGCAAAATGTTTACGTTTGATGTGAAGGGATAGATAATGCCATTTCTCAACCAAACACTTGAAAATATTCACTTAAAGTGTTACTAAACCCAGGACCCTGCATTCACTGTATCTGGTTTCCCACAGTACACACAACAATATTTTAGTAAATATAAACTGCTAAATACCTTATCAGCATTTAGAGTAGTATTGTAACGTCTATCAGTGTCCAGCAATGAACTGGTTAAACTTGTAGGAGGAGTTTTCATTCTCCCCTGATTGTCCTATGAGGCTGCAGGACCCCTTACTTCTGATTGCACAGCTCTGACTGGCCCTGATTTGTTTTTGGTCCCCCTACAATCCTGCAAAGCCAGGCAACATGCATTTTCTTCCACACTTGCACACTGGAGACAGTAAACAGTCCTCAAGCTTGTTTGTTTTTTAGTTTTATTAAGGGGTATTGAGGGGTGTATGGGATGCCCAAGAAAACTGCAACCATGCAGACAAACTCCTTAGCAACTATGTACAAGTCCGTAGACAAAAAGTTTTCTTCTCAGAAGAGCTCTCCAGCCCTCCACATCAGACCCCAGATGAATTCTCTTCTCACCCAGCTGCCTGAAGGAATCTCTGGGCAAGGAGACCCAGAAACCACCACTTTAGCAAAGCATCCCCAGCTGAGGAGCTTGTTGGGTATGCCACCTGACTGCTCTCTCCCCTTATCTGGCCCAGGGGGTGTAGGATTACTCATTCAATCCTCTCCTGTGGGCTTGATGGTTTGGTGGCTGCCTTCAGACCTTACGCTGGGCTGGCTCCTTCCCTGCTCTACCGGAGGTCCTCTCTCAGAGGACTTTGAAGCTGAGAGATCCTCCTTTCCAACTCCCCCCTGCAGGTAGACCTCTCTCCTGGGCCCCCCTCCCAGGCTCCACACTCCAGCCTTCATTTCATCTTCCACTCGATACTACTACCTCCTTATTAGGCTCTCTCTTACATAAGGGCCGTCCTGACCCTATGCCAAGCCTCCTGCTTGGGAATTGGTCAAAGTCCCTGGAGTATGCAGATCAGCCCCTCCTAGCCCCTCACCCACTGCCTTCTAGAAACGTATCAGGCTTCTAGAGCAGGGAGAGGTATCAGTGAACTGACCTGCAGAGCCCTCAGCACTGACCTAAAGTAACCTGGCTGACTCATCCCAGACTGACTCATCCCAGGCTGCTACTCAGCCTCTATCTAAAAATCTTTCTAGCTCTCCCCAGCTACATGTTTATATATTTTATTATATAATAAAGTATGTGTGTTTTTTTGCTGAAATGTTCTGTCATCCAAACCTTCAACATTGCTTAGTTCTCATACTTTCCCAACATCTGCAAAGTTTTCATGAAAGCTACCTTTACCTCCTTGTTCCGAAGACAGTATATGATAGGATTTATGAGGGGGGTAACTACACAGTAGAAGACAGAAACCACTTTGTCCATTGTAAAGCGGATGTGGGAAGTGGGTCGAATGTACATGAAGATGACAGTCCCATAGAAGATGAACACCACAGCTAAGTGGGATGCACAAGTAATAAAAGCTTTCTTCTGGCCTTCCGTTGATTGGATCTTCAGAACAGCAAAGACAATGAAGGTGTAGGATATCATGATCAGAAAGAAACATCCCAAGATAACACTCCATGACATGACCATAAAAGCAAACTCACCTTTTGAAGTGTCCTCACAGGAGAGCTTCAGCAGAGGGGCATAATCACAAAAGAAGTGATCTATAAAATTGGGAAAGCAAAACCTCAAGGTAGAGATCCAGACAGTAGGTGGGAAGGCAGCTAGAAGACCACCTACCCAAGCACCAAGAGCCAGTTTTAAGATGGTCTTACCAGACATCAGATTTGGATAATGCAATGGTCTGCAGATAGCCACATAGCGGTCATAAGCCATTACAGCAAGAAGACAGTTTTCTGCACCCCCAAAGCCAAACAGAAAATAAAACTGGGCCAAGCATGATGATGAAGAGATCTCTTTGTGATGGGTCAACAATGCATTGAGCATTTTAGGAACAGTTACTGTGGTATACAAGACCTCCAGCATGGAGAAGTTGGCAAGAAGTATGTACATTGGTTTGTGGAGATGATGATCCACTGAGACTAGTGTGACAATCATGAAATGAGATGAGATTGTGAAGACATACATGGTGGAGAAGAGGGAGAAGAGAAACAGTTCCACCTCTCGCAGGGTTTCAAACCCAACAATGATGAAATAGGCAGCAATAATGCTGGTCCTGTTGTCATTTTTTGGCATTATCCTTCGAAAGCAGACCTCGAACAGTAAAAATCTGATATTTTAATTATAGTTTTTATTTAACACCTCAATCCACCCAGTTTGAGTGTTTGGTAGAAGCTGGAGAGTTAAACCCCTTGACAGTCTCTTTTATATTGTGAGGACTCTGTTGGTGAAATCTCTGAGTTCCCGGGTTCTGCAAACTTGTGGTGCCAATTATGATGGCTCCTGCTTTCCATGCTGGATTTTACATTTATTTTATGTTTTATATTATGGAGAATTTAACAGGAGGAGTTGGATCATATACATCGAGACAGAGACACCCAAAACTCCCAGATGGACAGGAGTTCAAAATTATGGATGAAGGATCTCACTGTTGAAGCATCTGAGATATAAAAGAAGCTAGGACTTGTTTGTTTTATTTGGTCAATACTTGGCTTTTATATTGTAATGATTTGTAATTAAGCTGATAAGACAGGAATGTAATTCTAATGTAGATGGAAAAAATGTAGGCTTGACAACTATTCAAGGAAAAGCCACCTTTTTGCCTCTGCCACGTATAGACATATGCTGCCTATCACTAGCACAACAATTTTAGTTTTTCTGAATACTTGCTGTAAAATAATTGTATTACCTGTTGATCCTGTAAATAGATCACTTAAAATTTGACTTCTTGTAATGGGGTGACATTTCATTTCATTCTGTGAAATTATACACCAGCATTGCCATCCTGTGGACAGGGTAGTTTACAGTAGATGGGCACGTTGTTTTTAATAGACTTTAATTATACACAAATGAAGAAAAACATGTATGAAGAACTTGGAAAAAATGAATATAGGAAATTATGTTCTGTATTATAGGCAACATACAGTGAAGGGAAGAATTGATGTATTTATATAGTTTACCAGTCCTGAATACAGGAGACAACTGACTGCCTTATATCAAGATCCTCCTTGTCCTAATTTACATTACCCTGCTGTGTTATCCTCTTGGCTACTCATTATATATTGCACAGGGATTGTGTGAACACAACATTTAATAATATAAATTAGGTCTTTTGTGACCTTGATTTATCTGCATTATTGCAAAGTTTTCAAATCCACAATTCTATTAGTAGATGCCATTTAGTTTGCTAAAGAACTTTGTATCATAAACAATTGTAATTTCTTTCCCCTAATATATTGTTTCAGGGTTTTTTTCATCTCATTGCTGATCTCCTGCAGACTGTTTAGTCACTTTCTGTCTATATTCATTTGTTACAGAAACTATACATCCTTGCTCAGGACTAGAGATGAGCAAATTATTCAAAAATTCGGTTCGGCTGATTCGCCGAATTCGCCGAATAAATTCGCTTCGAGCCGAATATATTCGCTGCGAATTTAACTTATAAAAAGGGTGTTTCTAGGCTTCAGAGAGCCTTTATATTAGTGCAGAACACTGTACCTTTAATTTAAATGCCCTTGGAGTCTGCTGGGGAAGAGAAATAATACTGTCAGTCAGTATGACATGCAGATGAGTGCCGTCGATCTTAGAATCACCGCACACTTCACTCATTTGGGCAGTCACGGGGCCAAAACCAGAGTGTGGAGCCACAGTGTGGCGGTGGAGGCAGCAGCAATGGGAGGCCATACAGCACCCTATGACAAAATGGAACCCACCAGCAGTGTGAGGAGACCTGAAAGTGGCACATGGCAGAGTGTGGCGATGGAGACAGCAGCAATGGGAGGCCGTACAGGGACCCATGACACACTCTGGACCTGGCAGCAGCATGAGGAGGCAGTGCAGGGGCCCATGACAGATTACGGGCCTGGCAGCAGCATGAGGAGTCGGTACGGGGGCCCATGGCAGATTACGGGCCTGGCAGCAGCATGAGGAGGCGGTACAGGGGCCCATGGCAGAGTGGCGGAGCGTAAGCAGCTAAAATTGAAGGCCATACAGAGGCCACCCGGCGTGTATATGGATTTAACTCTTTGAACGTACAATAGTGGTTGTGAAGCAGAAAGTCAGTTTATTTAGCACAATCGGTCAATTGCAGCTTGCCGTTGGCTGGAAACTGTACGTTTATGTCACTGGAATGCACTAATCACCCAAAAAATATTACCGCCACCCGGCGTGTAAAATGGATCTAACTCTTTGAACGTACAATAGTGGTTGTGAAGCAGAAAGTCAGTTAGTTATTTTGCACAATCGGCAAACTGCAGCACCAACTGTGCACGACAGCCACCAAAAAAAAAAAGGGTGTATGTCACTTTAAATTTTTGATTCTTTGATAGCTGTGGCCCTAAGTAACGATTCTGTGTCCCTGAGTAACGATTCTGTGTCCCTGAGTAACGATTCTGTGTCCCTGAGTAACGATTCTGTGTCCCTGAGTAACGATTCTGTGGCCCTAAAGTCTCTGTGGCCCTAACTCTGTCCCTTAATACACACAGGTCTGTCTCTCTTGAATGACCGGAGGCTAATGGAGAATTCTAAGATGGCCGCGATTTATAGCTCCACCATTACACAGTGCTGGCTGGCTGCTGATTGGCTAATGCGATCACATGTCATGAATGCATTATGGGTCAGCGCGCCTTGTCTGCGCGCCTTCCCAGAGATCCCCGCCCCATCTTCTCTGTCCATTTTCTCCGTCGCCACACATGTCGCCGCCATTTTTGGGAAAATTCGATTCGTGCATCCGAAGTTTGCTAATCTTCGGATTCGTTGCGAATAGAATTTTTCCAAATCTTTGGAACGAATTCCACTTCGTCATGTTCGATTCGCTCATATCTACTCAGGACTATTGATGAGGATTAGAGATGAGCGAATTATTAAAAAATTCGGTTCGGCTGATTCGCCGAATTCGCCGAATAAATTCGCTTCGAGCCGAATATATTCGCTGCGAATTTAACTTATAAAAAGGGTGTTTCTAGGCTTCAGAGAGCCTTTATATTAGTGCAGAACACTGTACCTTTAATTTAAATGCCCTTGGAGTCTGCTGGGGAAGAGAAATAATACTGTCAGTCAGTATGACATGCAGATGAGTGCCGTCGATCTTAGAATCACCGCACACTTCACTCATTTGGGCAGTCACGGGGCCAAAACCAGAGTGTGGAGCCACAGTGTGGCGGTGGAGGCAGCAGCAATGGGAGGCCATACAGCACCCTATGACAAAATGGAACCCACCAGCAGTGTGAGGAGACCTGAAAGTGGCACATGGCAGAGTGTGGCGATGGAGACAGCAGCAATGGGAGGCCGTACAGGGACCCATGACACACTCTGGACCTGGCAGCAGCATGAGGAGGCGGTACAGGGGCCCATGGCAGATTACGGGCCTGGCAGCAGCATGAGGAGGCGGTACAGGGGCCCATGGCAGAGTGGCGGAGCGTAAGCAGCTAAAATTGAAGGCCATACAGAGGCCTATGTTAAAAAGTCCCCCCAGCAGCAGCGTGGGGAGACGACTATCAAGAGTCCAATGGCAGAGTGGCAGAGTGGCAGAGTTTATTGTACACAATCGGTCAATTGCAGCTTGCCGTTGGCTGGAAACTGTACGTTTCTGTCACTGGAATGCACTAATCACCCAAAAAATATTACCGCCAGCCGGCGTGTAAATGGATTTAACTCTTTGAACGTACAATAGTGGTTGTGAAGCAGAAAGTCAGTTTATTTAGCACAATCGGTCAATTGCAGCTTGCCGTTGGCTGGATACTGTACGTTTATGTCACTGAAATGCACTAATCACCCAAAAAATATTACCGCCACCCGGCGTGTAAATGGATCTAACTCTTTGAACGTACAATAGTGGTTGTGAAGCAGAAAGTCAGTTTATTGTACACAATCGGCAAACTGCAGCACCAACTGTGCACGACAGCCACCAAAAAAAAAAAAGGGTGTATGTCACTTTAAATTTTCGATTCTTTGATAGCTGTGGCCCTAAGTAACGATTCTGTGTCCCTGAGTAACGATTCTGTGTCCCTGAGTAACGATTCTGTGTCCCTGAGTAACGATTCTGTGGCCCTAAAGTCTCTGTGGCCCTAACTCTGTCCCTTAATACACACAGGTCTGTCTCTCTTGAATGACCGGAGGCTAATGGAGAATTCTAAGATGGCCGCTATTTATAGCTCCACCATTACACAGTGCTGGCTGGCTGCTGATTGGCTAATGCGATCACATGTCATGAATGCATTATGGGTCAGCGCGCCTTGTCTGCGCGCCTTCCCAGAGATCCCCGCCCCATCTTCTCTGTCCATTTTCTCCGTCGCCACACATGTCGCCGCCATTTTTGGGAAAATTCGATTCGTGCATCCGAAGTTTGCTAATCTTCGGATTCGTCGCGAATAGAATTTTTCCAAATCTTCGGAACGAATTCCACTTCGTCATGTTCGATTCGCTCATCTCTAATGAGGATTGCTGTGATCCAAACCCAAGTTCAACCAAACCCGAAAGTTAGCAGTCATTGCTAAGTCAATGAGCAGTGAGCTGAAGATTCCCTCTCCTGCAGCTGATGTGTAGGCAGGGATCCTGTTTTCTAGCATGCATAGCCGGTGACCGGTTTCAAGGGCACACACTCTTCTTAACAGCTCTGATGAAGAATGTTCACCTCTAAAACTAGTCAGCCGCTATGCATTCTAGAGATAGTGGCTTCATGCTCTCTAACAGCAACCACTACAGGGATTTCTTCCGTTCAGTAAGGGTTGAGCGTGTCTCTTTCTGGATGCAATTGTATGTGATATACCCAGGGGTGTATTTACCACAAGGCAAACAAGGCATTTGCTTAAGGAGGCATTTTTCAAGGAGGCAGCACCACTCCTGGAAGAAGGGACAGAAGAAGGGACAATCGCGGCATGGGGACCAGGTGGGATCTGGGAGAGGCTGCGGGCTGCTTGACGGTGTATGCATAGCCTGACTCTACCCAGGAGATGTCTGGAGCTGTGAAGGTGAGCAGGGGTGGCCAGTGTATGGAGGGTGTGGTGGTAGTGGAAGGCTCTCTCAGATGAGGGGGTGGTGGTGTTGGTTGGTGTCAGGCTCTCTCCGCAGGGGGGGGG